ATAATAATAATAATAATAATAATAATAATAATAATAATAATAATAATAATAATAATAATTAATAATAATAAATATAGTAATAATAATAATAATATAAGTAATAATAATAATAATAGTAATAATAATAATAATAATAATAATAATAATAATAATAATAATAATAATAATAATAATAAGTAATAATAATAATAATAATAATAATAATAATAATAATAATAATAATAATAATAATAATAATAATAATAATAATAATAATAATAATAATAATAATAATAATAATAATAATAATAATAATAATAATAATAATAATAATAATAATAATAATAAAACATTTGGAGGGTTAGAGCAAAAAAAATAAAATAAACTAGCACTCCAAATGTTTTTTTACTATTATAATAGGAACCACTCCCTCCGTGGCTTACACTGGGGATAAGGCAAAGTCAAGTGTCAAATTTCCACCGGCCGATTAATGGAAAGCTGACAAAGAGGAACATGGAGGAATCGAATCTTACACAAATTCCCTCTCTCTCTCTCTTTCTCTCCGCCGTTTGGTGTGAAACTCTAGCAAATAATCACGACAAGCTGACAATTATTTGGTATCTCATATTTGAGATGCCCTCTGTTTTTATCAGAACGCGAAGCGGCCGAAGGAGTTTTGAATTCCGGCCATTTTACGGGAAAATTTAATGGCTTCTGCTTGTTTTCCGGCGAGTTCAGGCAGTTTTTGCGGTGAGATGGTGGGGATTCCGGCGCCTAGGTATCCGGAAACTAGGGTCGGGGTGAAGGTCTGGCAATTGGGGGCCCGTTGTTCTCTGGAGGAGAAGGTTTCAGACATGAGAGTGAATGGTGTGCTTCACTTATTTGCATTTCTTCTTGATTTTTTTCTTTTATTGGATTCAGGCAGTTTCAGTTGTGTGTAATGGAATTCTATTTCGAGGTTTGGCTTTTAGATTTTGAAGTGAAATTTTGCAGAATTTTGTGTGTTAATTGAGTGTCTGAGTAGGGTTTGAGCTTCTTGAGTTTGTGATGAAATTTAGCAGAGATTTTTGTTTACCGGGGGTGTGTTTGTACTTTTATGCTTTAGGCTTATGGAAATTAAAGGGAAATTTCTCATGGTTTTATGTATAGTGAAGTGTGTTCCTATGGTTTTAAATTCTGAAATTTGAAGTGTAATTTAGCTTAGCGTTGTTATGTACACTGTGTTATGGAGTGTGTCGTAGCCTCTGAAATTTAAAGTGAATCTGAGCACAGCTTTTACTTGGTAATGTTGACAACATGTTGCTTTGCAAAATTTGAACTATTCTGTTACCGTTTTATTTTATTTTTCTCTGAATGTTAACGACTTCTTTTTTCTGCATCCATGGACAAGATTTGGTGTTGGCTTAAAAATTAAATGCAATGCACTATTTCTCTGTTTCATCAGAGCCGAGTGAAACTATGAAAAGTGTTGGAATTGTTTTTAATACTACTTCCTTATTAGCTTTGTGTTCTGCTCTCAACTTCTGAAATTATGACCTGGGTCTTGTTATGGATGTTATGTTTCTTCTGTACATTAGAGTGCATTATCTATGCGATGTATATGAAGTTGTTGATTTTTTTTTGGTTCTCGTTTTTGTGTAGTAGTTTTTTCCATTTTGATTATGGGTATCCATTTTTTGACTCTATATATTATATGGCAGCTCCTAAAGGGCTGTTCCCACCAGAACCTGAGCATTACCGAGGGCCTAAACTTAAAGTGGCTGTCATTGGAGCTGGACTTGCAGGAATGTCAACTGCAGTGGAACTTTTGGACCAAGGCCATGAGGTTGATCTCTCAACATGTCAAAGATCACTGTTTTCTATGTGTGGTTTCCGAAATCAATACCATTGTTGGAGTTCTGTAACTCATGGTTTGACTTTTGAGAATGGAATAGCTTTCTTCACTCCTTTTCTCACACAAATGACAATGTTCAAGTGGGATATGCTCAATATCTTGGAATTACTTCCATTTGAATAACAAAATATTCTTTGACGTTTTGTATGTCCCTTGCTCACTTTATGTTTCTACATTGCTTACTGCTTTAATTTGGTTAGAACTTGCTTGAACTTCCTAGATAAATGACTCATGCTCCACATTGTCAAATTTGTAATAACATATGTTTCTCAAATGCATATTTGCATTGTCTTTTGCAGGTAGATATATATGAATCCCGCCAATTTATTGGTGGAAAAGTTGGTTCTTTTCAGGATAGGCGTGGAAACCATATTGAAATGGGACTCCATGTATTCTTTGGGTGTTATAACAACCTTTACCGTCTGATGAAAAAGGTTAGTTTGCTTTGTTCATAGAATGTTACAAGTTTTTTCCCTTGGTCATATGCTTGCAGGTTCTGAATGATCATGAACTGAAACGTTATGTTTGTCCATGAACACCATAAGTTTTTTGTTTCCTTTTTAGAGAATCTTGGTGTAGGAGTTTATTCTTAATACTTTTGATATTATGTTTATAGAATGTGCCAGAAATTCAAGCAATGGGTGCTCACTATATTGTTAAGTGCTGATGTGTGAATGTGATGTAGATCCTTATGGATTCTTCAACTGCAACCTCACAAAATTGTTTACATTTGTTTCTAAATAAAAATATGGCTGTGATCACTGATCACAAGTGTTGGGTCTGAAACACGTATTACCGTAAATTTATTGTTATATGGAGATATTTTATTCACATAATTCACTGAGTAGTTTACTGTTAGGTTTTTTGACTTATTGGGCTTTTATGTGGAGATATGCCTCATGTCAAGATTGTCTAACATAAAAGGATAGGGGTTAAGGGCTTCCTATCATATTCTAACTTGCTATTGAGTTCTTGCGTAGAAACTTCTAGGAGTTAATATGTGCGAATGTGCGTGTGTGTGTGCTTGCGTGTGTTAGGGAGGGAGGCATAACTTGGCGGGGAGAGGGAGGGATAGGTTGGCGGGGAGAGGGGGAGAGAGGGAGGGAGGGAGGGAGTAAGGGAGATTTCGTAATTTGGTGTCCTTTCCGGTAGATAGAATGTCGGGGGGGTGGGGGGTGGCTCGGGGAGGGGAGGGGGGATTTTCTATTAGATAGAGCAAGGTTGGTTTTTGGTGAAACTTTAAGGAAATTTTGTCGCTTTCGGAAGTTGGCTTCTTGTTTTTGTGTGCATGTGTTAATCTTGGTCTTGTAATTTTGAGTAAAATATGGGAGGGAAGGAGAGATTGCAAGTTGGTGTCCTTTCTAGTAGTAGATAGAGTTGGTTGTTTTTGGGTAAAACTTTAAGGAAATTTTATCACTTTCGGAAATTGGCTTGCTTGTTTTTGCGTGCATCTGTTAATCTCAGTCTTGTAATTTTGCCCAAAACCCAGGTGTTTTTTTTTTCTGGGCAGTTCCTCCTATCATTATGGTACTGTTATTTGATTGTATGGTGGTTGGGTATATTTTTCTTGTTGCAGGTTGGTGCTGACAAGAATTTACTCGTAAAGGATCACACTCATACCTTCATTAATAAAGGCGGCCAAGTTGGTGGTATGATTTATGATTTTTGTCAATTGCTACATGTTGGTTTTGAACTTAATATGCGGTAGCTAATTATGATATATATTATATTGGTTATCTTCTTGTAAATGACATTACAGTTTGGTGCAGAACTTGATTTTCGGTTTCCCATTGGGGCCCCAGTGCATGGTATCAGGGCTTTTTTATCTACTAATCAGCTCAAGGTAGCTTCATTCTTTGCATTGTTCCTTTTTTGTCAAGAGTACTGCAGCTAAACAAGATGCTTCTGCAGTATTTTATTATGTAAACCTGATGCATGGTGTTCTGTTTGTTAATATATTGATATTGAGTTATTTACTCTTGTATCTGTACTTGCCATATACTTTTGTCACTTTTTATCTAGCCTTTTGGGTGGCATTACAGTCTTTGCATTATTCACTCTTTCCATGCATGTTGATTGATGTTTCAAAACCATCTTGCTGAAAAGAACATTTCATATCTCTCTTATTCTAGAGAGTGGATACATCATCATTCTCTGTAATTCTATGGTAGCCTTGATTTTGGGTGGATCCTGTGGTAGATAAGGAACATTTTAATTCCTTGGGGTAATCATTGATATGTGCAACCTCTGTGGAAAGAAAGGCTTCTGAAAGCTCAGCTGGAAATTTTTTTCGTCTTCAACATGATAAAGTCATAAAACCTCATGCAACTGCTCCTCTATATATCTTCTCCTATGATGGCTTTAGGGTACTGATCTGCAATATTTTGTGAGAGAAATTTAATCATAGGAAAGAATTGGGAAGAAATTTTCTCAATGTGGCAAATAATCCCACTACACAGCCTAGCCCCTTAACAACTTCAAGATTACCTACATCATCAACCACTGAATTACCTTCTCCCAGCATATGGCCATGAGTCCATGACATCTCACCCGTGCCCCAAAAATGACATTCAACATTTTAGATTGAAAATAACGTCATATGTGTTGTAGAGAGTTTAGGTGGCAAATGATCCCTACATGTTAGTTTTGGTCCTTAGTGAGTTGAGGGGGAATAGATGAATTGCCTCACCATGATTTTGGGGCTCTATAGCATAATGTGTACTCATACACACTCATATATAAAATGCGTACTCATACATGCTCATATATAGAATGCTTATTTTCTAATAAGTATCCATCAGCATGTTAGAATGTGCATCTATCTATCTATAGATATATATGTGTGTGTGTGTGCGCGTGCGTGCGTTCTAATAAATATCCATCAGCATGCGTGTGTGTGTGTGCGCGTGCGTGCGTTCTAATAAATATCCATCAGCATGCGTGTGTGTGTGTGTCACCTTGGAGTAGTATCGTGAAACATTGAGTTATATTCCCTAATGATTTGTTGGAGAGTGAATGTTATAAACTTGAATTTATCAAATTTTGATATGCATGTAAACGTGGACCTGGGTCATCATTTAACTTACACCAGAGCCAGTAGATAATTTTCTAACTCTCCTCTAGGAAGTTGAATTCATGAGAAATATCTTGTACTTGCTTGTGCCGATACCTTGGGTTTTACTTGTCTAAATTATACGGATAACTTTCTAACTTTTTATTGCCGTTGCCTTAGTTCTTTCCATGTGAACCCCAAATGTGGTTTTCTTACTCACCTTTCCTCTCAGATGTGTTGCACTTTACTTAATTGAGATTCCAAGAAGACCTAGATGGTTTAGAGTCAATGACCTCCCCATAGTTGCACCACCCATCTGACATCTTGAGGAAATGGAAGTATCATGACCTTTGAGCTCAGCCATCATGAATAAAATGGTGGGCAGATCCTCTTTGTCCGATGAACTTCATTGTGCTGAGTTGCTGACTGGTTAATTTTCTACTGGCTTTGGTGTAAGGCTGTTATAACTCAGCGTTTCTTTTCCTCTCTTTTGATCTCTTTAATGGCCAATCTAGTCACTTCTCTTTACGATATATTACATTGAAAACAGGCTGTAGGTAGAAAGGTTTATCTGAAAAGAACCTTTAAATGCCTTTTTACTTAGAAATGGATCAGAAGTGTATTTTCTAGTGGTGGTGATTATTTTCCTGTGTTTTCATATTGGTACAGGAGTACTTCTAGCTTTGATTTAAGTTGCTATTCATATGTTTTCCCTTCGTAATAGTTTTCTTATTTTTGAACTCCGCTTTGTGCAGTTAAATTTCTTACTTATTGCTCTAATTTCTTTATTCTGCTTTGCTTGATGTTCAGAAATATGCATCTTTCTCTCTGGGTTAGTTTGTTTGGTCATGCTGTCATGAAAAGATGGGGCTTTCTTCTCCTCATTGCATCATTTGACATGCTACGTTAAGTTTACTCTCCTCTTGAAGTTAATACAATAGCTCAATGTTAGTTTTGCCTTATGTCATTGCAGACTATTGACAAAGCACGGAATGCGTTTGCTCTTGCAAGAAGTCCAGTTGTACGGGCTCTTATTGACCCTGATGGTGCAATGCAGGACATACGGAATCTGGACAATGTGAGTAGATTATCAAGTACTGTATTTTATTTGATTGAATTTTGTGTTGTTATTACATGAAACTCTTGATTTATTGTTACAAATATTCTTTTTCGTTGTATCAATTATTCAGTGCGTTTAAAATCAACTCATATTTTCATGGTCTACATCAACATCGGATCTTATTGATTGTGCTGATTTGAGTTTTATGCTAGCCATCTAGCATAAATTGTTCGAAAGTACTGTGACATTTATACCCCATGTTAACTTGCAGATATGTATTGTTGTACATACTTATCGTATTGATAGAAAATCTTTAGTAGTTCTGTATGGATACTTTTGTAAAGACCCACCTTTCTTTTATGGTGTGGCAAATATTTAACTGGCTTAAAGACTTACATAAGGACGAAAGAATGAAATAATGATAAACTGCTAGTTATGTCATGCAGACAACTGGCAATACCATGTTGTATTTCATGTGTGCAAAAGGAGGGATTGGATACTTCTCCTCACTTCGTGAATAATCAACTCTCTGCTGGTCAGAAGATAAACAAGGAAGTTGAATGATACCATGCAAGAACTTCTTTATTATTGCAAAATGACAGTATACATATGCTTTGTATGCTTTCCAAGATGAGATTAGAAAGGATTCGAATTGCATTTGTGTTAGTTTTATGAGTTATCGCGGGAGGTAAGTTTGAAATGAAACACTGTTGCCATCTAAAAAAAAAAGAACTATAGTTGGAGGTGGTTACCAAGTTCCACAGAAGAGCCAGAACCCATGTGGTGTTATTGTAAATGAATGACATGGCCTGAGACTAGCTGAACAGCTTCAGGAGATGAAACTCATATCTCACATTCACTTAGGCTATAGTCATAACTAGTTTACTATTAGCCAGCACTAGGTAGTGCTGTAAATTAGGTGTTCCCTGTGAGTCGAATATTTTACAGCTGTTCCAGGAAGCGGATTGGTGTCTTCAAGATGGGTTCGCATGATAATACCTCAGGCATGCTCAGGCCAAGTAAGATATTTCCGTGACCTTTGCATCTAATAGAAATGCTTTGTACCCTCAATTCCTTGCAAAGGAATGACTGCAGTGACCAACAAACACGTAAAGCAAAGAGCCAATTTCCATTTTGGAGAAACTTGACACCATTAGGTGTCACATGGTTTACACACGAGTATTCCCTACTTAGATTCCCATGTCACAAATATGTTATAGCTCAATGGCTCTATTCTGCACTACCTAGACTTCTAAGTGGAATTTTGAAGGATCTGGTAAAAACTGGCTGGATGGTAGTTTATCTTTGGTGATGTATTAATAGTTGATTTCTTGTGGTTCTTCAAATAATCAGGTTTACAAGATACCAATTTGACTTCTTTAATATTTTGTCTTGGTCATAAAGGATATTCTGTGTAGCATATCATGGCCACTATGTTTGAACTGCTTATATTTTGCTCCATCTTATTTAACAATTATGTTGGCTTCTTGCACTGACTATTCTTTGAAGTCAGCTTTCTCATTCCTTCTTGTCCGAAGGATCATTATTTATATCTTCATCATTTAACTCTTTCAGGTCAGCTTCTCTGATTGGTTCTTGTCCAAAGGCGGCACTCGTATGAGTATCCAGAGAATGTGGGATCCTGTTGCCTATGCACTCGGTTTTATTGATTGTGATAATATTAGTGCACGTTGCATGCTCACTATTTTTGGGCTCTTCGCCACTAAGACAGAGGCTTCCCTGTTACGCATGCTAAAGGGTTCTCCTGATGTTTACTTGAGTGGCCCTATAAGAAAGTACATAACAGATAAAGGAGGGAGGTATGGCAAGGCATTCTTTATCTGTGAGCTCCTTAGGAGTTTCTGCTCATGAGTAACTAGTGTTGTAATACTTATGAAAAAAAAGTGAAGTGATGCTATGTTTCTTAATCCTTTCCTATTCATAAATTGGCTTTAGGCATAAAGGTATCTTTTCTGACTTTGCAGATTCCACCTCCGATGGGGGTGTAGGGAGATATTGTATGATTACTTGGAAGATGGTGGAGCCTATGTAACTGGCCTCTCTATATCAAAGGTTTCCCTCTGCTTATCTTTCTTTTCTGAAATTTGAAGTTCTGTTTCAATTACCTGTGAATAGTTCATGAAAACCACCTACAACTTACAAGTCTAAATTATTGGATTGATGTTGAGCGAACCCTTTATTATATATTTTGTAATAAGTTTATCAGAGGCATTTTCACATGTATTTGTCTGTTTTGCGACTTTTGCCAACACTTTCACCTCAATGGAAATTCATTGCTAGAATAGAAATGTGGCAATATTGTGGCAATTTGGAACTGTATGAAGATGTATTTGGCATTGAGCAGATGGCAAAATCCTGATATTTTTTAAGATAATCCTGGCAGTTTAAGACAATCTCTGAGCCAGAAGGGATTGTAATACTTTAGGATTTTATTCGGTTGGTAAGCACCTTTGTGCCCATTGATTTGTATTGAATTTTTATTTCCCATTGATGAAATTTTTCTTGGTTGATGAGGGCCTATGTTGTAGTCCATAATGATATTAATATAATCAGCAGTTTAATATTTGCATTATACTGTAGCAACAGTACCATAGTCATTGTTGGAAAACATGTGCTTCTGTTGTATGTTAACTATGTACAAAGCCATCGGCTACCACATTAGGGTCCTAGATCTTTCCTTCTGTGTTATCAAATCTTGAGGACTACCTACATCTTGTGAAGAAACAAGGATACGTGGGTATGCTCAATTATAGATCGTGATGTTAGAAGTTTGCTCATGGATCTGTCTTGAACATTTACTTAAGAAGTTTGATTTGTGGTTCCAAGGTGCTCTTTACCATTGCTTCAAGTCATCCTCTCTAGTTTCCTAATTTAACCACTATTTTAAAGGTTCTCCTGCCCTATCTGGCATGTAATGTACATGTTATAGTTCTCTTGTAATTTTATCCTCGAAATAAGAACTCCGGCCCAAAATATAAGAGAAATAAAACTGAATTTAGAATTGTATTGACCTACTAGATGTTTTAAAATAAAAAATGCATCAGTTACATGATTTATCTGAATAATGGTTCACATGATACATAATAAAACCAAGAGAGAGAGGATGTAAATAGTCCCCAACCCATGTGGTCATTTTTATACTTCTGTTGGGGATCTGTGTCACAATTTGTAGCCTTGAATCAATTTGTTGTATCTTTTAACTATATATGTAAAATATTAATGAAATGCTTATATAATTTCTTATTTCAACCAATGATTACAATCCACTTTTGTCGACCCATGTGTATCCAAAAGCCCAAGTGGCGAGGGGAGAACCCCTACCTCAGTGAACCTGGCGACTGTCCTGAGGAATAGAGTTCTTGATGGTTGATAAAAAACACATTACTTTTTATGTGATATGGTCTAGACGGTGACCTAAGTCCTCCAGGCAGTTGCCTCAGTGTTCCATGCTCCCACAGCTAGGTGACAGAGGCATTGTCACTTGTGCCTACATGGGAAGATCGACGCTAGGTATCTGCCTTGATATTATGCCAATCCAAAGCTTAATGAATACACTAGTGTATGCCCTGGAAAGCCAAATGGGATTGTCCCACCAATTATGATCTGCCTCATGGATGAAGTAAAATAAATAAATTTAATAATGAAAATGTTGAATAGACATATAAGGGAAAACATTTTGTCCACACTTTGGCGAACCGCCACATTGGTCCGCCCTCCCCCATTTTGAGAGTCTTCGGGATATTTATTTCACCCCAAAATTTGCGCATACATCCTCTTGGCACTAATGAAGAAGCCCATGGAAATTCTAAAAAAAAAAAAAACCAACGCTGGAAAATGATTTTTTTGAACTTGATGAGTGCAGGCTGTCCATTTCATAGGCCACTAGATCTAGCCTTTTAAGTTCAAAATCAGTATCTTTATTTTTCATTTTTAGTTATTTGTTAGGTGATGATGACAATCGACAAAATTTGGGATAAACAAATCCCCCTGGGCCTCGATCCAACAATACTTTTTCTTTCTAAATGGAAGGTCTGCATTCATTGCACATTTTCTGTCCTCAAAAAAGATAATTTCTTGGTTTTTATTTCAACAATTTTTTCGCCGACTTCTTTGACAGGACAAGAGGAGGTGCGTGCTGATTTTGGGTGATAGAAATGTCCCTAATGCCCCCAAATTGGGGAGGGTGGATACTGGTCCAGTCTGCCCTTCGGTCGACCATATGTTTTCCCTAGATATAAATGTAACTGGGCTACCATGCGGATTCAAACATGTTGATCCATGAGGAAATCGACACCTGTTTGTCTTAAATTACTCCTTTGCTATGTCTGACTCATTGGTAAATAACATATATGGTATCTTGTATATTTGCAAAGATAGCAATTCCTATTCTAGAGATGAAAAACCAGTTGGAGTTTTTTTGCTGATTTAGGATTATCTATTCAGATACGGTAATAGTTATTTTTCATCAAATGTGACTTAACTCATTTCTCTTAAATTGTAGGCCACTGAAAAGCAAATTGTAAAAGCTGATGCATATGTAGCAGGTTTGTATGTGTATCTCTGATCAAGATTACATTCTTGAATTGTTCATCATCTAATAAATGTAGTAATTTTTCTTGGCAGCATGTGATATCTTAGCTCATCATCTAATAAATGTAGTAATTTTTCTTGGCAGCATGTGATGTCCCTGGCATTAAGAGATTAGTGCCTTCTAAATGGAGGGAGAATGAATTCTTTGATAATATCTACAAACTTGTCGGAGTGCCAGTAATCACTGTTCAACTAAGATATAATGGCTGGGTTACCGAATTACGAGATCTGCAACTTTCTAGGTGATAAACATAATCTAACATTTGAGATGTTGAAAACTGTTGGCTGTGCTTTCTAGCTTTTGTTTCTCTAGCTCTATTTTTAATGCATGTGTATTTGTTGATATTTTCCAGGTTTTGTTTCTCTGCCTCTATTATTTTTTGCATATGTACTTGTTAATATTTTATACCAATTTGTCTTTTGTTCATCTTCATTTATAAGGCAATTGAGACGAGCTGCTGGGATGGATAATCTCCTGTATAGTCCAGATGCAGATTTTTCTTGCTTTGCTGACCTTGCACTGAGTTCTCCTGAAGATTATTACATTGAGGGGCAAGGTTCTTTGATTCAGTAAGGAGAACCCTTCATTAGACTTTGTAGTCTTGCTTTACTAGTCCAATCTGGAATTTGTAATCAACTCACTGATCAAAAACAGAAAAATAAAATAAAACGAACATCGTTCAAAATTTTTTATTGAACTTATTTCTTTTTTATTTCTTTATATCCTTGGATTTTCATATGAAGTTAAATTGTTCTGTTGCATTCTCATTCCTTATGTTCTCATATTGCTTTGATTTTTCAACTCTGCTAACATAGTAGTGCTTTAGAAATTTGTAGTGGTTTCATGTGGTCTAAACTTTGCTTATGTTACTCAAACAGTTTTTCCTCTTGCGACTTAATTGGAGATATTTTCTGCATTGAACAATATTAGTTCCCCTATTCTAATGTATGCAGTGGGTTTGCTGGAATGTTTTGGAAATCAATGCAACGGCAGAAGAATTCTTCCAAGATCACAATTAATCCTGATTTCACAGCTTTTTTGGGTTCCCACTATCATACCATCAAACAAATCATACAGAAAATGCTAGATAGTCTCTTCAACTAGATACGAAAATGGTTAATGCGCTATAGAATATGGTGATCCCACCTTATATTAAAAACCTCAAAGCTGGACTTTGATTCTGTAATTCTTCCAGAATATATTTCTCCAGAACCTATGCCACTTATGTAGTAACCTGCAATATCTTTTCCCACTCAACCCCAAATGAGGTTAAGCTGGGAAACCTCTCTCTCCCTCTCTCCCTCTCTCCCTCTCTTCTCTTCTCTTCGCACACACGCACGATCCCCCATCTGCACCCAATAAAAAACGAAGAAGCAAGAAAACAAATAAAAAACTCCCTTTTCTTTCCATGCTGTGTATTTATCAAATCTTAGCAGAGCCCCACATGAGAGAAAGTTGTGGTGGCTTCCCTTAACCCATAGCCCAATACATCTGGTATGCTCATGATACAATACTCACATAAACATTTTAAATGTTTTCCACTAAAATAAACCCCACGTTTTTATACATGCTAAAGAACCCAAGTCTTAGAATATTTACAAATATCCTTACATTTCGAGATTACTGGGACAAGACCCTTAGGTGCATGCAATCCCACCAAACCAGAGGCCATGCAACTTCTTAATGGCTCCAGGCAACGCCCCAACCTGCATTTTAATATAGGGCTGTTCCCTAATGTTATGTTGTTAGATGGGCTTGCCACAAGGTGCCTCCCTGCCTGACCAGCCCATATTTTTGTGGAGGTGTTTGAGCTCTGTGCTCTCTTCTTTATTTGATTTCTCATTATCTTTCTGATTCTAATATCCATAATAATCTTTGCCAAAGGGGGCATATCCCAGTCTAAGCTTTTTCTTTTGCTCTGTGTTCGTCCAATCAGATTCCTCTTCAGCATCTCTGTCTTTGGTTTGTGTTTATAGCTGTTCCCCTATCCATTCTTTTAATTGAATGAATTCCATCCTTACAAATAGAAATTAGAAGAGTTTTTCAAAACTAACTTTTTGAGATATTTATTCATGTTATTCAATTTATTTATATTTTCCAATTAGAATTATCCTTAAACAAACTTCAGGCTTCTGAAACAACCCCAGACCCAGGGTCTGGTTTGATAGACTATCCCAGATGCTTCTTAGATACTCTTTTGGGTATTTTTCCTCACTCCCTTGGTTGCTAAACTGTCCTATGACCTTCCAGTTTCGTTACTTGCATTCCTTTTTTCCAACTTGGTCACCGACATGAATAGTAAGGCTGCATTTACCTTTGTAAACTAGAATTCACAAATTCTAGAAACTTTGTTAGGCAGCTTGGAAGCAACACAAAAATACCTCTGGCTAATAAAGTATTTTTGCTTTGATTTTAGAAAGACAATAAAAATCAAGAAGCTCAGTTATTTTCTATGGTGATTGAACGACATAATAAATTCCTGATGTTTAATCCAAAACTAGTAGAAATTTTTTATGTCAAAATTCAAGGGGCTATGTTTGCTATTAATAATGAACTATTTCCCAAGTTATAATGCTCGTGTGATGGATTTCTTTTGCTCATTATATAAGTTGAATATTCTTGGGCATCAGTTTGTAATCATATCTACTGCTAAATTAATTGGAGAGAATCTCATAAGTGGCTTGGGTTCAACAAGGTTCATTGCAACGTTATGGGAAGTTGGAAGTGTATTTGAGGATCCAGCGATAGACATGGAGACTGAACAGTAGTCAACAGGTGAACCCAACAAACTTGTATTTGATGGTTATCTATGTGACCAACGGAAGGCTGGAAAATGTTTGTGACCGAGCAATAGACATGGACACTGAATAGGTCACAATAGGAGAGTCAAAGAAACTTTTTAATCTTTGTGACCGAGCAATAGAAATTTCTGATGTCAAAATTCAAGGGGATATGTTTTCTATTAATAATGAACTATTTCCCAAGTTATAATACTCGTATGATGGATGTCTTCTGCTCATTATATAGGTTGAACATTCTTGGGCATCAGTTTATAATCATGGCTACTGCTAAATTAATTTGGAGAGAATCTCATAAGTGGCTTGGGTTCAACAAGGTTAGAACAGTATTTGAGGATCCAGCGATAGACATGGAGATTGAACAGTAGTCAACAGGAGAACCCAACAAAGTTGTATTTTGATGGTTATCTATGGGACCAACAGAAGGCTGGAAAATCTTTGTCACCGAGCAATAGACATGGACCCTTGGTCACAATAGGAGAGTCAAAGAAACTTTATTTGTTTTTACTACGATGGTTACATTTGAATCCATTTATATAGGGCCAGTAAGGATAGCATCTATTTAAGCAATCCTAATTAACTGCAATTTGTGAGCTTCATGATGTAAGTTTGCCTTTGAAGGTTTACCTAGGGTTTTAGTTGATGTTTGAGAGCCAGGAGTATGTCTAAAATGCATCTTCTGGGAGACAGAAGATTTTGAGAGATACATTTTGTGTGCAATTTTCTTTCCCCTGGTTTGCCCTTTATGGATGCATAAGTTTTAAGAGGTTTTTATCTTGACACTTGACCACTTGGCATTTTTGTTGCTTTCATTCTTGGTTCTTGCGATTTCATTTGTATATTATTGGAGCTTTCACGCCCTGGCTTTAGTCTAACTTATTTTGTATGATATAATTGAATATGAAGTGCTTTTATATATCTGCTTAAACTATTGGCTAACTACCATCCCTGCTCATTTCCATAGTCTGATTTATTGTAAATTTGTTTTTTCCTCTGCAGAGCTGTGATAACTCCAGGTGATCCCTACATGCCGCTGACAAATGATAAAATCATTGAACGGATCCAGAAACAGGTTAGTGATAAGTAGTTTTTCCTTTTCCATATTAACACCATTAGCATGCCTTAGAGAATTTTTTTACGTATTATACATTCACAGGCCTGTAAAGATGCACATGCACAAGCCTCTTTGTTCACATGCTCTTTAGATTAGGTTTAAAAGCCTCTTTGTTCACATTCTCTGAGACTCATCAGAGTAGGTTTAAAATTATCTGTATTATTTACAAATGACAGACTCAGCCTCTTTGTTCAAGCTCTTTAGATTATCGAATTTGTTAGTTTGATTCTTCTAATAGTGTCTGAAAACCTATAATCAAGCAAGCAATTTTTTTCGGGTATTTCAAGTGTAAACAACACAACCTTTGGAAGGAATTGTAACGTCATTAGTCAATGAAACTAGATTCAGTGCTCAGCATACCATTTTTTTCATCTTTTCCTTTTTTGTTTAGTGAAAGGCCTGAATCCAAAACTCTGAAAGTGCTAAAAAAAATTCTGTTATATCTGTGATGCCCATAAGGTCATTTCTTTTAATTGTACCATTTGCAATAGAGCTCTGCTTTAATAATGTAATACGGGTAATTGACCCCATTGGTAAACGAAGCCTAAAAAAAGTGAAGAAATGGGTGTGTAGACTTGGTGCTTCTTGCTCAAGTTATCATCATCATCGTCAGAGCCTTTTCCCAACTAATTGTGATCAGCTACAAGAATCCTGGTTCGCCATTCTGCTCTATTAAAGGTCATACCTTAGTGGGGCCATAAGTCCCCATATCTTTTCGCACTACTTCCAACCATATTCTTTTGGACTACCCCTGACCCTTTTTGAGTCTTCCACTTTAACTAACTTGCACCTCCTAACAGGTGCTATATTGGGTTTGCATGGCCAGCCCGCTTTAGTCTATTTTCTCTCTTCTTTTATCCTATTTGTGCCATATCTAAATTTTTCTGAATGTATTCATTTCAAATTCTATCCCTTCTTGTCTTGCCACTCATCCATCTCAGCATCATCATCTCAGCTACACTCATGCTAGAGGTATATTATTTCTTGACCGCCCAACATTAGGCCCCAAGCTATCCATCTTCAATAAAGGCATTTTGCATGTACAGTTTATGTCATTATCTTTCATTTTCGTTTTGAATTCATTTACTTTTCACATTGATGTATTATCTGAACTATTTATTTTTATGTGGATGCCTACTGCATGACTAATTGTCTCAAGAAATGCGTACATTATGGACATGAAAAAGTATTGGTTCCATGAACTTGCCTTTTGTAGGTGCTGTCTCTGTTTCCATCTGCTCAAGGTTTAGAAGTTATTTGGTCTTCAGTGGTCAAAATTGGACAATCTCTATATCGTGAGGGTCCTGGAATGGATCCTTTCAGACCTGATCAGAGAACACCAGTGCAGAACTTCTTCCTTGCAGGTTCATATACGAAGCAGGTAATATGTTTTATCCAATATTTCATGCTCTTTTGAATTTCTTGATGACCTTTTGAGCACATCTTCTGTCTATTACTAATGCTCATGTTGCTCTAATAGCTCCGAATCCTGAGAAAGAACTGTGTACGATGCCATCCAAAATAGAAAGAACTGCATACGTTCTGATTGATGCTAGCATGAGTACACCCCATGCTTGCAGACAAGGACACTTTAACTTTCCATCCATTCTCATACTAGCGACTTTCAATGTACAGGAAACATTTTGAAAAAGGTGGACCACAGTTCTCATTAAAATGCATGAATATCTCTTAGAAGTTTTAATCATAGTTTTTATAGTTGCCTTAAGATTTGAATGGAAGAACTGGACAGTCGGTCCAACTTTGTGCAGGAAAGATAGAAGCTACCAGTCCCTGTCTTTAAAAATTCATTGACCATATTAGTCCTTGACCTAGGCCTGGATTCGTGGATGTGAAGCTGGAAAATCCTTGGGTTGCCTATTATTGAGGGATTTGATAGATAAAGTTCTGGCAACTTATGATTTGTTTCTTCGTTATTGAAAATCTTCTTATTTGCCTGACTATATTTTTTATAAACCATCCAACTATCATGACTATCGAGGAGAAGAGGCATTGCTAACGTGAAAATCCTGCACACTCTGCATAGTATCCATCTCTCTCCTTAACCTTCATATGCTTTCTTTTCATATTTTCCCTTTTTTTGGATTTTTCTGTAATGCTTCTGGTTGTAAATTAGTTTTATCTAAATCCATCATATATATATATATATATATATATATATATATATATATATATATATAGACGACTACTTATTAGTTAGTTACGTAACGTAACGTACGTACCTTACTACGTACTCGTACG